CAAAAATAAATTAAAAATAAATGATATCCTTATCTTGCTTTTGCAGTATCTTTTACGATGCTCTCTTTTTCATCGAGTACTTTTGCCCCGCTATCTTTTCAAGCACAACTTTTTGTACACGCAGATGCACGCAAGTTGACGTTATGCTCCTCCCACAGGTTGGTTATAATAACGTGGCGTGCGTACACGCATTTCCACCCCTCTTGGCGGTAAGTTATACTGCGCATGTGCAGAAGACCACGAGGTGGAAAGTGTAGAAGATAGGTGATAATGGCTGACAACACTGCGACCAGAGATGCCCCTACAGACACCAGTCTGACACTGGGCACAGAAGAGGCACGAAAGCTACAAGACGGCATAACTATTATAAACTCGTTGATAACTAGAGCTACTGGGGCGAGCCATCACTTAATTTCTGAAGTAGCCTCAAGCAGTAAGTTTAGATCTGCACGCCGGCTCAAATTATGTATGCTTTCTTTTAAGGTCGTTCCGACTCTCAAGGTCATTCTGAGGGTCGTGCTAATCAGAGTCAAGCATGCAGCCGTGCCCTTCAAGCATTGAGGTCCGTAAGGCAGCATTTTGATGAGGAAAGGAGAAAGGACGTGATTGATGAGCAGAGAAGAAAGGACGCGGTTGACGAGCAGAGAAGAAATTTTTCTCCTTATACAAGTGGAAGAGGAAAAGGAAAGGGGCGTTCTCGTAGTTGTTCTTTTAAAATGTTTTGTTTAAGTTCTCCACTTGATACTCACGTACCAACTTCGGTTTCATATAAAGAAACACTTTGTAAAGCTGGTTTAGGAGAGAAAACTGTAACTATACCAGACTCTTCCTGTTCGTGAGATGAATTTTGGTCTATTATCACTTCAGCTTACCCAAAGCTCTCAAATTGTGGCAGTTTTGAGTTACTTCGTTGTATGAGTCAAAGCAGAGAGCTTGAGCCTATATCAAGATCAGTTGCCAAGTCACCGAAGCTCTTAAAATCAGTGCTCAGCAATAGAAAAATCTTCATTAGACCCCTCCAGAAAGATCTAGATGTAAGAGTTGCTGAAGATTTAGTATCAACAGATGATTCAGTGGAATTTTTTGTAAGTGGCCAGTTACAATAGATACTGAGCATATCTACTATAATTATTAACAATAGGAGGAGTGCATTTATTGTAATCAGAGTTTTGAGCTCAATTCACTTCGAGAGCATGCTCAAGACTGTCAGAAAAAGAAGTAAGCAAGCAATTTTACATTGCTGTACCTATATTTAATAACAGGCAATTTTGTACGATTAATATTGATGATGATTGTGACTTTGAAAGTTCTAAGCAGAAGAAGAGCATTTTTGAATTGCCTAGTGATAATGAGGATTTACCTTTGTTCTCAAAAATATTGAATGGATGTGATTACTCTCAGTCACTTGTATCAAACCAGGAAGAGGTAGTGAAGATATTGGATGTTGTATTGTAAAATTGAGAGGGAGAGATAGAGATACAAAATAACAGGAACACACATGATACAGCAAATTGCACAGATCTTGCAAGCCAATTCATAAACCAATCTATGAATTTCAAAGGACTGTCTAAATTGAGGTGTGTCTTGCATTGTATGGTCACATTAAACAAACAGCCCACCAAATTGGCAGTTTGCAAGGTCTATGCAACTAGCTGCATTAATCAAAAGTGCATATACTAGTCTGTGGTTAAACAACAATGACATATAATAATAACTAATAATTAATCATTCTATTACAATAGATAGCTGATGTATGTGAAACAGAATCCATTATGGTGACGCATGCTATAGAGATAAGTAGTGACAAAGAGATTGAAGTTAAAAGGTACAGTATAATGATGTGCATATCATAATTGCAGTACAATTATTCTATTGTACTACGTTATACATGACCTCAGCAAAAAAAACCAATCAAACCAGTTTCACTTGTACTGTCTACTGTCATATATAGTTTAAATCAGTTATGATTTGCTTAAAATAATATATGTTGTCACTGATCTTTGTCATTAGGTGTATACAATGTATTCTAAATGTGCAAACTGTGACATTTGTTATTGGTCATTTCCAATGCATTCTGCCTTAATTTAATTTTCACACTTTGCCTGTTTACTATTTTTATTTATATTCAATATTTATATTCAGCATTGATGTGTTCTGCACTCTATACCATGCAGTACAACAGAACCCACTCTGAAAACCATTCTGACAGACCTTGCTGAACAACTAACTGATATAGTGACGTATATTCCAGTCAGAAGAGGACATGTATTGAGGGATGCATTAAGAACTGTGAAGCGTTCATCATTCTGTTATTTGAATCCCATTAAGGTATAGTAAATTAATGCAACTGCTTAAGTAGATTTTATTCATATTAGGTTGAGTTCTTAGGTGAAAAAGGAGTGGATGGAGGTGGGCCTAGTCGGGAATTTTGGTGTTGTTTGGCTAATAATTTTGAGCAATTGTGTGATAGAGATGGTGGGAATAAGGTGCTGAGGCATGATGCTGTCGCTTTACAGGTATGTGTAATTTCCTATAGCTCTCATTTTAATTTCTATTAATTTTTGGTAGGAGGAAAAGTTTTTTTACATTGGAGAGTTAATGGCCTTATCAGTTTTGCATGGTGGCTGTGGCTTTCCATTCCTGGGGAAGTCAACTTATGATTATTTGTGTGGTGTTCCTCTTTCATCTATAAATGTTAGTAAGGACGAAGTTCCTAATGTAGAAGCTAGAGTTTTGTTGGATAAGGTATACGTGTTTTTGTTCAGATCGGCTAATTTTTCACTTATTGTTTATTTAGATTGATACTGCAGGAGACAGCAATGCATTGAGGGCTATCTGCATGGAGCATGTTGATTTAATAATTGATGCAGGTTTTAATAAACCAATCAACAGTCTTGAGCTCAGCAATAAAGAGGAGTTGACTAAAACTATTAAGATACATTATACCCTCTTGAGGTCCAAAGCTGAGTTAGATCAACTGACTCGTGGGCTATCTATATTGGGTATTGGGAGACGCTATATGCAAATATCCTGTACATTTTGCTCCTCCATTCACTTGAAGCTTGGCTCAACTCACTGCTGGTAAGTCTATAATATTTCAATTTTGTTTTTATTGTTATAATATAATTAGAACAATTGCGGCAATTATTTGAGGATGTTTACTATTCTCTAGCTGGTAGCTCTGAACGGCAGAAGGAGGAGGCTATGTACATGCTATTCATTGATTTCCTAAACAGCTGTGAGACTAACTGTGAAAGTCAGTTGATACTTATTTGGCATTGATTTTGATGCTATCTTGAATATGCAGGTAATATTGGTTTGGAGAAAATACTTTCATTTTTTACCGGCACTGAAACAATACCTGCCTTGGGATTTGAATGCACTGCAAGTTTGCGATTCAGTGATAGTCTAATGCATCCCACAGCATCTATGTGTGCCCTACAATTGACACTCCCAACACAATATCACGATGACGAGTCAGCATTAAAAAAAAAATATGATATATGGCATACTGAATCATGGTGGATTTGGACTTAGCTAAAAAAAGATTCATAAAACTGGTGTTAATTGTTAATACTCTTTTGTGGTGCATGTACATGCATTTCTTTTTGTATCACTTATTCTATTATCAATAATCAATAATTCACAAATAATACTGACATTCAACAAATGAGCATACAGAAAAAAATTAAAGGGAGAGAAAGATAGAGGAATGGAAATATGACATTACAATCAATTTGTGTGATATCCTATGTTATTTTGCACAAATTCTCTTGCTGCAACATATAAAACAACACCATAATCGTTACATGTTACCATTGGATTTACTAATGTCTTTAATTGTTCTAATTCTTCATCCTGTATTGGGCAGCGAGTAACTGGTACACTAACTTGCTCTTGTACTTGTGTTACAATGGGACCATTCCAATCAATTCCAAAGGCATCATCAATAGCACCACTTTCAGCTGCTTCATCTCTCCTCAAAAGAGCCATACCTTGAATCCATAACTGGTAAGGACTAAGATTACTTTGACCTCTGATCCTGTGATGACTATATGCTTCACGAAATGTATCCAATTGTCTTTGTATCCGTGACAAAAATACGTAGTGAAGAGCAAAAAGATTAATCTCACTGTTAGGATCAAGCAATCCCTCATCCTCCAATCCATAAAAAAGATAATAAAATAGAGACACACAACCTTCAAACACATCTCTCCAGAGCCTCTCAATCCTCTGGTTATGGACACTTCTGCCAGTAATACAACTCCCACGATTAGGTCCCCTTAAAGGATGTGTGAGCATGTACTCAGATACCCGAACATTCTCCACACCCCTATCACATCGCACTCTAGACGGAAGACCATATGCAGTAACTGCTTGAAGAAAACAACGAAGAACAGTTTCGGATGAATTATTGGTGGAAATATTTAAGTAGACTGGAAGTCTTGAGAAGCCATCAATGCCACCATGGATTACCATCCTCCACCGAACTAATTTGTGGTATCCATCAATATGTCACAAGCTGTTAGGCATTGGAACATAATACTGTCTCCTATGTAATGCTCTCCTTAGACGCTGTCTAACACCACTTGGATCAATGTGTAACAGAGCTTCCCTAATCCTTCTTCGCTGAAGGTTAAGCGCCCTTCCTCGTAAGTATCCCTCAAAAGTCCTCTGGCCTCCGTTAGGATATGTGTGAACAAACTCTGCTGTAATTTCATGTAACTCAGTATCAGATATAGATGAGTATGAAGCCGAATCTTCTAAGCTGTACTGAATGATTCTTCTTCGGATAGTTTTCGGTGAAACTTTTAGCATATTAGCAATATCAACACAAGAGAAGCGAAATGATAGCAACAATGACAGTTGGTTTTCATCAATATGAATTTGTGGACGACCCCTTCTGACAATAGACCGCCTACTTTGATATTCAATCCAATTATAAACCTCAACAACTGCCATTAATAAAGTTTCACCATCTTCTATCGTGAGCAGATCTGAGACTATAAGAACATCTTGCAAAAGTATCTCTGCCTCCAGAAGCACTTCTCCATAATCGACGCCCCCTTCAGCTTCCAATGAAGCCATTCTCTCGATGCTTTCCTCCATTTCTTCTAATAGAAGTAGCACATCAACAGCTGCCATGATGCTCAATTGCTCATTACCTGTAGCTCCACCTCTAGGCGTAACTTCACGACCAGCAGCTCAAGTGAGTTGATGTTTTAAAAACATGGAGTGTGAAAGGTAGTGGTAAAAACATGGCGCTGTAAAAGATACTGCAAAAGCCGAAAAGGATATCGTTTATTTTATTTTATTTTTGTCCTTAATGGCGCTCCATAGTATTAGAGATCTCATTTTTGAAACACCCAGCAACATATAGCACTTGTAAGGATTGCAAAGACATTCTTACACTTTGTAATAAATAGTTTCCAAGGAAAATAACCAAGTTGCGTTTGCATTGACGACAATTTAGAAAATCTTCTCTCCATTTCTTATGATTAATTGGTTTGTCTGCATTTATGTCATCACAACAATGCATGCTATTGGTTGTGCTTGAGACTTCCTTATCACGTCTTTGTTGCTCAAAATACTTTGGTGACTGTTCTAATGATCCCGGGTTATCAAAAATAACATGTATTTCGTTGCATCCTTTTCTGAACTCTGATTTGATAAATCTTTCCATGATAAATTTACAGTAATCTTGTAGTTTTTTGTGTTGATTGAGTGGATTAACATTAATTAAAAACATGCCTTCCATAATTATAACCTCAGGAGTCCATGGGATGTTGGAAGCAAAAACAGGAGGTATAGCTGTGCTATACCTAGCCTCATAATGCTTTGTGGCAAAACTTTTTTGGCCTTTATTAGCAATCCCATTGCTATTGCATAGTGCTAGTGGTAATTCTGTTAATTGTTCTTCAAGATTACGTATTGGCTGCCCTGTTCTTCTAGAAAATGACATCTTTTTTTCTCATAGCAGACACAATTAACTGTTTGTCCTTTTCTAGTTTTGTTATTTGCCGACTCTTCTTTTGTTTTTTGGTAAATGTTTTTAGATTAATCTTTCCATTTGGTGCTTTGATACTGGGTTGCTTTAGCATTACTGCTGAAATTCTTTGAAGCAATTTTTGCTGACCTATATTTCTAAAATTCATAAGATCTGTCATTTGTTTGTTACTAATTTTTTCCTCAGAAAAAAGATGTCTTAACTCAGCTTCATCATCATTTAACAATGCGGAACTGTCCAGACACTTCATTTGTCGTTCAATGTTCTTTTGTGTTTGTATGTCAGTAGCCTTTTTTTAAATTAGCGATGTTACTGTGTCTCTCTTTTTACCTTTTTCTGCTGGTAGAATCTGAGAAATAATGTTTTCAAAAATTTTTATTCTATGAGGTATGTATCGAGCGATTCTACTTATAAAATCTGGGTTTGGTTTTACTATGGTTGTCTTACAAGACTTATTAATGAGCATCTCATGTGCTTCATCAATGGCTACAGCATGCCAAGGCCTACCTTGTATATTTACTACAAATGCACCTTGTTCGAAAAAAGAAATCAAATCGGAAGGCATGCTATGAATATCATTCAGGTGCTGTGAAATTAATTTCTGGTATGTCTGGTGGTCAAATGCTGTAAAAATTGCTGCCATTTCTTTGATAGAAGCCATTCTGAGACTCCAATCTCCACTTTGTATTGCAAGATAGAGTCCAACATAGGCCAGAGCATCACGAAAAACAAATTGTACCCAAAACCGCCAGGATTGACACTTTTGGGATTTTAATTGCAAAAAAAAATTTGAATTGTTCATAGAAAATTGATCTGGAATCAGTAGTAGTAAGTAAAGTGTGTTGGAGTACCTCTAACATAGAACTACTATCTGTGATTGGCGTCATAGAGTCATAGATTGATTTAATGAAGTCAGATGAAACAGATGTGGGCTGTGACGATATAAAAATGCTTAGCATAAACCTATAAAATGACTCCCAAACTTCCATGACAAGAAAATGCGTCCTTTTGAACTGACCACATGCCTGAATTGATAACAGTGGATATCCACAGCTATTTGCTAATTCTTTCAATCCAGCATCAAAATAAGCCTTCATAAGTGGCACCTGGTAATTCTTGAGGAGATGCCAGTCTCCTGGATATGGTACTAACCAACGAAACTCCATTCCATATTGGTATTTTATGTTTTGCATGATTTCATATATTTTTGCATCTCCCTCTACAATTACATACTGCATTTGTCGTGATAAAATTTGATCATGGTATAAGTTATCTAATATAGCAGAAACCGTATCCTGTTTATCAGCCACTGTATCGAGTACTTCAATGTATTCTACTTCTGATATTTGTGTGCTTGTAGGTCGAATGAGAGAGAAAAGTAACTTAATGTCAATGAAGCATTCTTCCTGTCTTTGGTTGTGAACTGCATGGTGATAACTCATATACATATTGACATCTTTTTGGAAATCTGCTAGAGTTTGTTCCTCTTCCTGGTTTGTTGTAAAGTCTTCAAGTGAGATCCCATTGGTAAGTAAATTTTCTTGTCTAATTGTGTTAGTTTTGTACCTTGATGCCATTGTTGAAATATCTGTGCTTGTTATCGAAACCTGTTTTTCTACTCCTGTTCTCTCTCTTCTCTCCTTCTTTTTAATAGGTGACATAAGATCTTTATGGGGAGATAGTGTTGGTGATGGTCTTTCAAGTCGCTTTCGTGAATCTTGAAGCTGTGTAGTGGATCTGGTGGCATCTGTTTCCATAGCAGACTCATCCCTTCCTGTGACCAATTCTAACAAAGGTAATGGCTTGACTTTTTGAATTGTAGTACCATGCCAGCTACTTTGCCTGTTTCCTTTGAAGACACGTGCATAACTATGTAAAAAATCTAAGTTATCTACTGATACGATTTCTAGTGTATCTTCTGTGTCATTAAGGGCTGGAGGCTGGGAAATGGTATAATGCATGTATCGTTGTAATACATCAAATGATGAGCAAACACCTATGTGATTCATGATTTTAATTAGGAGATGTGAGCCACCTTGACATTGAATGACATCTGCTAGTAATGTATGCATTGGCATGGAACATCGATTATCAGTGCAGAACATTATTGCACTAAGAATGAAGAAGCAGCGAATAGTTTTAAGCTTACTAGCATCACTAGCTAAATCTGTAACTTTAGATCTTCCCTCACGCTCTGATGTAGACCTTGTCATTAACATTATCGCATTCCATAGTTTTGTATCTGTTTTCTGTATCAAACTATCAATATTCATCTGAGAACAATTGAAAGGTTCATTGCGATCACTTTCTAAGTAAATTTTTACTGTTTTCTTTACTCTGTCATTTAGATCATTAATTATCACGTCAAATTGATTAGATTTTTGTACTTCCTTCTCTGTTTCATTTACATGAACATAGGCTGTTTCCTTATTTTCAAGGGCTCTAAGCTTCCATAAAGCCTGTGTTGCAATAGCTAGCATGTCGCTGTCTGGTCTATAAATAAGTGTTCCATATTTGCGTGTTTTACAAGTAAAAGACATGTGATTACCTAAGCTCTCATTTAGTCGAGCAAGAATCCATTTTGCTGTTACAGAATC